AGGAGGAGGAGGAGGAGGAGTGAGGCGGAGGAGGAGGGAGGAGGAGGAGGAGGAGGAGGAGGAGGAGGAGGAGAGGAGGAGGAAGGAGGTCTCAGTATCAGTTGTCTGACCTCAGATCAGATTAGCTCCTCGCTCCCATGACGAGGTTCTCCCTCTGGTCACCTCTGATGTTGTCTCAGACTTCCTCCATTCATAGCGCTGTCTACGCATGTTGTGTGTGTGTTGTGTGTGTGTGGTGTGTGTGTGTGTGTGTGTGTGTGTGTGTGTGTGTGTGTGTGTGTGGTCTAGCATTACTATACTTGTGGGGACCTAAATCTGTTTACATAAGCCGCTTTCACACCGCAGGACTTGCCGTACTTTAGTGCCGGAACTAAAGAACCAAAGTACCAGGGAAAGTCCTGCGGTGTGAATGCGGCTATAGTCACGTGTGGGGACTGGTTTCCCTTATGGGGACAAATGGAGGTCCCCATGAGGGGAATCATTAATTTTAGGGTGAAGACTTGGTTAGGTTTAGGATTAGGGTTAGGGTTAGGCATGTGTTGGTTATGGTTAAGGTTCGGATAAGTCTCCAGGAAATGCATGTAAGTCAATGTAATGTCCCCTGAAGTGATGTATACATGGTATGTGTGTGTGTGTGTGTGTGTGTGTGTGTGTGTGTGTGTGTGTGTGTGTGTGTGTGTGTGTGTGTGTATGTAAACCTAGCGAGTGGTGTTTCCGGGGGCTGTTCTGTGAGGAAAGGTTATGAAAACACAGCGGTGGGGGGTGGGAACAGTAAACACACACAGAGCGGCTGAGGGCCATTTTCAGTGCAGCCATCCTCAGCGCCTCGCTCACTTAATGACACCCACTGCGCTAAGATAAGGTGAAGACAAAGATACTTAACTATTGCTCATGCCGGGAGATAACTTACATAAATGCATTACATTTACGTTTTTTTTTAACTTTCTGATCAGCTATTGAGGTTTCCAAATGAAGCTACGAATGTCTGTCGTCATGTTTAATTGTGAAACATTTAAACATCAGTGTTATAGGAGCTCAAGGAATAAGAGCATGTTGTAGTTGTGCTTCATTTTTCAAAACAGAGCGACTTTTGTTAATTAAGTCTTTGAGATATCAGCACTTTTGGTCTCTTTGTGAGCGTTTCATAAGGAAGAAGGTTTCTCCATTTCCACTCAGACGGTACTATTTAAACAAAGCAAACCCGCATACTTCTGATAAAAAACAGACACGTTATAACATTCTGCTTATTTTTGTTTTATTGCACTGTAACCATGATGCAAAGAAATGAAAACAAAGAAATCCACAGAAAGTTGAATAAAAAAACAAAGAAGCGTTTCCCTTTAAGAACATCATCTTAAGGTTCTCCACACCACACACACACACACACACACACACACCACACACACACACACACACACACACACACACACACACACACACACACACACACACACACGCACACACACACAACACACACACACACACAACACACACACACACACACACACACACACACACACACACACACACACACACACACACACACACACACACACACACACACACACACACACACACCACCTCTCCACCATGAAACCAGACATTCAAGTATTTCTATCATTGCACAGGCACTAGATTTTCCTACTTTATATATTAACTTTCCTCCAGCGACCGCACCGTTGACAGTTCAAATCTGTCAGCTGTTGGTAATGAATGAAATATACATCCTGAAAAATAATCTCTCCACAACAGCAACATCTGGACATCAAATATATTACAAACAAAACAAAAATATAAAACGATTAAGTGTCACATTTGGCTTTTGGTACTCTAAATCTGTAGCACTGTCATAAAGGAACACAGTAGTTTGAATTTAACCAATACTTTTGAAAGATATTTTCAATATGGAGATTTGACTGAGAGGCGCGGAGCTTTAGCACGTGCTCAGTTCGCCCTCTTGTGGACAAATGAGGAAGTACACCACTGTGTTTTTTTAAACAGAAAGTGATTTCAAATAATAAATAGGCTTATTTTTAAATAAATACTCTTATTTATGGGCAGGTAAATCCAGGAGTAAACCTGCACTCCACTATTTCCATCTTGAATACCAATGATAGAAGCTAGAATACAAATAATAAAAGACACTATGCAATAAAACATTTTTTCAGCAAATCAATACATTTGGATAATTAAGACAACGGGAATCTCCTCGTCCACCGTGAACTGAAACACTTCAATACCAACGATACGTATAAACACATAATTCAGCTCGTGAAGAGAGAGAGAGAGAGAGAAGAGAGCAGAGGAGAGAGAGAGAGGCGAAGAAGAGGAGAGAGAGAGAGAGAGAGAGAGAGAGAGAGAGAGAGGAGATGGGTGGCGGGGTGTAACTTTTACAGTCCCTCAGATTCACTGAATTCAAAAGCAGGTTCCTGAAGACAGAGAGAAGGCGTCTCTTTCAAGACTTTCGTGTGTTTCGTAGTGCTGCAGGTGACGCTATGACACTAGAGTCAGAGGGGGTGTTTTTTTTAAGGAGTCCATGTGATGTAGGGGCTCAGTTCAGTTTGTAACCCCCACCCAGGTTCATCCACTCGTCACCCGTGCAGCTCAAGTCAAGTTTGTAAGTCCCATCCAGCAGGCTTCACTTCCAGGCTGCGGTAAAATAAATCCCAGTGCAGACGGAGAGCATCTGAGTTTCAGGGTTTTTTAAGAGAGAGACCGGATCTACTTTCTGCAGGGAGTCAGTGAGTCGGTCCTGCTGCCAGCGCCCCGGGACAGCTACCTCTGCCGGGGGGGCGGGGCGGGCCCCTGGAGGTCGTCCTCCACAACGTAACTGTAGCCCTCCTTCTCTACGCAGTCTGACAGCACATTCAGCACCTAGTGACGAAGAAACACCACAGGATAAGAGAAAAGGTTAAGTTAATAATAATAATAATAATACATGGGATTTTTATAGCGCTTTTCCTCATGCTCAAAGATGTTTTACATACAAGATAAGATATATATTGTATTGTTAACTTAGGACATTTTGCTTGAGTTATAATGCTACAAACAGATGCAATCAAATAATATAAATATATACAATTAATCAATTAATGACTTAATTATTGCAAATGCCTTGTGAGATACAAGATATATAAATGCATTAGGGCTGTAATAAATCCTTTTTTGCATACATTTGAAGCATCTATTGAGGTTTCCAAATGAATCTATGGAGGTCTGTTGTCATAATACATTTTCAAAACAAATCTGGGAAAAGTAAAAGCATCGTATGCCATACAAATTGTCCATAGTCATGGTATGTCACAAACACGTCACAAACATTTTAAAAAGTCATAGATTGTATGCCAATGCCATGTCTTAAAAACAAAGTCAACACGGTCACAAATAAACAACAACACACACAGTATAAATGAGAGTGTGTGGTGTGTGTGTGTGTGTGTGTGTGTGTGTGTGTGTGTGTGTGTGTGTGTGTGTGTGGTGACGACATCTGCTGCGTATAGCCAAGACGGATCGTTCGACTCAAGAGGCATCGAAGAAAAATATAAAAAAGGCAAATAGTATAATAATTTTTTGCTTAAGAAGGTTCATTACAGGGGGAAATTATAAAAGTGGTTAAAATATATTTTATTCAACATGTTCGAATGGTTATATTCACTGTAGTTTTGGTGTGTGTGTGTGTGTGTGTGTGTGTGTGTGTGTGTGTGTGTGTGTGTGTGTGTGTGTGTGTGTGTGTGTGTGTGTGTGTGTGTGTGTGTGTGTGTGTGTGTGTGTGTGTGTGTGGCTCTGACCTGGCGCACCCTCCGGTCCATGGCCTGCAGGTGTTGCTGGATGAGGACGGGGCTCAGCCGGTCCCTCACCAGAGACTCTGACATCAGCAGCGACAGCTTGAACTCCTCTTTAGCCAGCAGCTGCAGACGCAGGTGGGTCGACTTCCTGATCCTGCAGGGAGAGAGGAGGGGGGGGGGGGTAAGAGTCAGAGCAGCTTTGTGAAATAAAGAATAAAGAGAGACTTGTTACATGCCCAGGACACATGTTAATGCCAGGGGCCTGTACTACGAAGCTGGTTCAACCTAACCTGGATATGTTTGAGTTAGCCGGTTGGCCTAATCCAAAACATACGCGCTCTCGCTAAACTGTACTACGACGCTGGTTATCAAGTGGATCGCTCAAGCCAGCCGTGTCCTATCTAGTTAGGTGCGCGTTCACATGAAAGGGGTGGTATCTGGAGCATTCGACCAATCACAAACATGGAGAAGCGGACTGACAGCGCAGCGTCATACTTCCTGAATGAAAAGTGAACTTTAATATTAGTCAAAAATGAAGAAGTTAAACTTTAAACATCCATGACTTAAACACTTTATCCAGGATAAAAGCCACATAGCTGCACCTGCAAGGTGAATACAGCTGGTAAAAGAAAAAGTGTTTGAATGCGTACATTAACAGGTTTATGATATCACTGCCCCGTCTAAAACACGATCTGACTTTAATTACATTTGACTCGAGTGTTTCGTCAACTTAATGTGTTGCTTAAAATAATACTTCTGCATACAGTCTGTGACACTGTGAGTGTTGCACGGCCAGATACGGCTCAGCTGACTCAGATAAGAAAATATATGATACATTATGAAGTGATATGCCACGGACTGTACGTAATGTTACTTTGATCTGGTTACTTATGTTGTGGCAGATATTTAAGTAAGCTTTCTTAACACTAATGTTATAATAGTCAGATTGCTCTGAAGATGGGAGGTGATATTCTATTAATGTTCACGTTCACACAGTCGGTGATTTTTGCCGGCCGTCTTTCCTGCGACGGCAGCTTTTCTGTATTTCCTTTCTCCTGTAATATGACTTGATCGCTTTAAACTCCGCACACTGAGCTCTGATTGGTCAGGAGGCGGTGCTTTCACTGAGTTGAGCTCTTAGCCTGCAACCTAACCTGGTCCCGACCAGGTTAGCCGCTAAGCATAAGTTACCATGGAGATCTAGCCTGCTAAAAAGAGAACCAGCTTCGTAGGACCGGAAAGCCGGAGTTTCCCCTGAATTTAGCCGGCTAAGCGAAAATCCTGCTTCGTAGTATACCCCCCAGGTGTAAAGTGGGTTGAAGTGTTTGTTGTTGTAATACTCATTTGGGCCACTAGAGGCTGAAGTGCACCACTACGCATGTTCTGAATGGGGGTGAAACCATTCATGTTTTCTTCCAATAGTGTTAATTTCTCCATGCACACTAAACACAAGGTACATATGTATACATTTATATCGTGTTACTTGATGGATAAGCTTTGATTAAACATGTATAGCCAAAAGAAAGAAACCTAGAACAATTATCCTGGTAAAAAAAAAGGTTTTGAAATGGATCACTAGAACTTTTTGATCAAATGTTCTCGCCTCAAGACTGCAAGCACTACTATTTAGACATACTTATGGCTATTTTACTAATATATATTTAGACTGTAAGAGTAACATGCACATTGACATTGCATTTTATCTCGTTGCACTGTCATCGCTACTACCTCTGCTTTTACCACTCGTTTATTTATTGTGTCTATGTTTGACTGCAGTGAGAGTTGCCAAAGACATTTTATTGTACTTTGTATGATGACAATAAAGATACATTCTCTTCATGGCTTCCTTACCCTTCTTATGGAGCTACATAAAAGAACACCAATGAAGAAGAGCTCACCTGCAGCACTGGGTCAGCGGCACCAGGATGGAGACCTCGTCATGGGAGTGCTTTCCGAATCTGTCGGACGAAAAGATAGAGGCTTAGATTATTTTTAGGGAGGCTGTGGCGCAGTGGGTTAGTGCGTTGGTGTTCGGATCAGGGGAGCACAGGTTCAAACCCCACTGCAGTCAGCATGTCGTTGTGTCCCTGAGACACTTCACCCCAGATTGTTCCTGTGGGGATTGTCCACAGTATTGAGTATGTAAGTCGCTTTGGATAAAATCAGCGTCTAACAAGTGACATGTAATGATTTAAAAATCTGTTTGTGAGTCATTTTATTGTGTGCTTAGTTCTTCTTCGTAACCATGAACATTCCACAGCAACCCGCAGCTTATTATTGCTGTAATTATCTCGTCCTTTGTGTGGATGCACTGCTGCAGAGTGGAATAATGAAAGCAGTTGAATCGTTTCTGAAGCCTCTTGAGTTACAAAGCAGTGACTCACCCTCTGCCGTTGTCCAGATGGATGATAAACGTCTCATTTCCAAACTTTTCAAACGTCTCATAATGGTGCCGATCCATGTTTCCTGTGTGGGAATAACAGTAAACTATTCAGCTGAGATTTAAACAAGGAGAGCACATGTGTGTGTAGTAAACCTTATGCCTTTCTCTACCAAAATGAGTGCATATATGCATGTGTTTCTCTTTATCTACAAATCCCTCTTTTAATAGGGATTGGTTCTTTCCTCATTGCCACCATCACATTCATGTATGATTGCACCAGAAAGCAGGTCTAGTACACAGTGGTTACTTCTTTTGTACATCTATTACTTCTTCAGTTTGACCGTTTAACTAAAACAGTGTTGGAAAAGGTTTGAGCAAGTCTAACAATTAAATAAAGGGAGGTGACATTCTGGTTGCTTTGAGGAGAGCACAATAAAAGCAATACTAAATTATGTGTCCAAATTCCTGTTGATTTTATTGATTTAATATGTACTTTAATGTACAGATAAACAGTTTGACCACAAGTGTAATCCATCAGTGTTTGCCCATTATTAACCTCTTAAAAGTGACCATTGTGGGACAGGGACTCTCACCCATGAGGAAGTCAAACACGGTCATGTCCATGATGTCCAGCAGTCGCGTCCCGCTGTCGTACGGAGGGGTCTGTTTCACTTCCTCACAGTAATCCGGGTCCACCTCCCATCTGAGGACATTCAAATATCACATTTAGCTGATGCCTTTTTACCAAAGCGACTTATAATAGCCATGAAGACACACACTCAAAACAGCAAGATCTTACAATAACATTAGCTTTAAACAAGGCAAAGGTTTTAAAGTGCTATGAATAGAATGGATACGCTTCTGGGTTTTTATCATTGGCCAAGGAGCGGTTAAAACAGGTGGGTGAAACAAGAGATCTGCAGACTTCATGCTGCCCGGACATATTACAAATGGTGTTCCCCAAGGTTCTGTTTTAGATCCACTATTATTCTCCATCTATATCAACAGTTTAGGTCAAAATGTGGATGAAGCGATTTTACATTTGTATGCGGACGATACCGTGATGTATTGTGCAGGTCCCTCCAGTAAGGAGGCTATTGTTAAATTGCAGGCAGTTTTTAATATTATTCAGACTAAGCTTAATTTGTAATGTATTGAATGTATGCTGCTTTAACACATCACCAAAAATCCAACTTGTTTCGCCTTTAAAGTGTTTTTCCAATTAATTCTCGTAATCATTTGGAGAACTAAGATCATTATCATCACTAGATTATAATTAAGTGATGATCTGTACAGTTGGTTGTATTATCTTATCGGATGTCAGTCAGTTTTAATTGGATGTTATATATAATATATACAGTAAATGGAGCTGGGGGCGGCAGCAGCTCAGTCTGAGAGAATTAGGATTAGGATCAATTGAATGCAGTGACTAAATATCTCTGTGTGTGGTTCCATGTACATATGTGACGAATTGATTTGAATCCTCCTTAAAGGTCACCTATCATGCAAAATCCACTTCTTCATGTCTCTTCTACATCAACATGTGTCCCCTCTTCTTCATGTCTCTTCTACATCAACATGTGTCCCCTCTTCTTCATGTCTCTTCTACATCAACATGTGTCCCCTCTTCTTCATGTCTCTTCTACATCAACATGTGTCCCCTCTTCTTCATGTCTCTTCTACATCAACATGTGTCCCCTCTTCTTCATGTCTCTTCTACATCAACATGTGTCCCCTCTTCTTCATGTCTCTTCTACATCAACATGTGTCCTCTTCTTCATGTCTCTTCTACATCAACATGTGTCCCCTCTTCTTCATGTCTCTTCTACATCAACATGTGTCCCCTTTTCTTCATGTCTCTTCTACATCAACATGTGTCCCCTCTTCTTCATGTCTCTTCTACATCAACATGTGTCCCCTCTTCTTCATGTCTCTTCTACATCAACATGTGTCCCCTCTTCTTCATGTCTCTTCTACATCAACGTGTGTCCCCTCTTCTTCATGTCTCTTCTACATCAACATGTGTCCCCTCTTCTTCATGTCTCTTCTACATCAACATGTGTCCTCTTCTTCATGTCTCTTCTACATCAACATGTGTCCCCTCTTCTTCATGTCTCATCTACATCAACATGTGTCCCCTCTTCTTCATGTCTCTTCTACATCAACATGTGTCCCCTCTTCTTCATGTCTCTTCTACATCAACATGTGTCCCCTCTTCTTCATGTCTCTTCTACATCAACATGTGTCCCCTCTGAGTAAAGAGACTCTGAAAGTTTCAGGAACAAAGATTCTCTCTCTTTTCGTCCTGATCCATTTCTATAAAAACCTGTCTGAAAATGAGCTGATCAGATTTTGGCCACTTTATGATGTCATAACGATGTTTTGGCTTGTGTAACCATTAGCCAATCACCGACCAAGGTACTTTTTTGTATCTGAGACCTATAATATATTGATGAAAAACGGTATAATAGGGGACCTTTAAATATCCCTGTGTGTACATATGTGATGACTTCATTTGAATCCTTCTTAACGTACACACCTCAGATATCTTGCTCATGAGTTAACGCCCTCAGTATCTGTCAGTGAGTGTAATAAATATCCTCTGATAGCAGCACAGTGAACCCCTGCTCAGTGTCTGTTTGTTCAGGATGATTCTCTTACTCTGCCTTCTTGCGTTTGTGGTAGGAGCGTCTCCACGGGTTCCTCCAGGTCTTGCGTTTGGCGAGCGCCAGGTCGGGCAGGAAGGCGGCGAGGGATCCCTCGATCTGGTCGGGTTTCCCACACAGAGCGTGCTCAGTGGAGCAGTAGTACGAGCACTCTCCGTAGAAACACACGTTGTTGGCTGAGATTTGGAGAGAGAACACACATAGTTACAGGCTGATTTCTTAAAAAACTGCTAAAAAGTGACTGCAAGGTTTATTTCATTATGCAACTCTGTGGTAAATACTTAACTAGTACACCCTCTTTCCTTTTGAAATGCACACCACATCATTTGAAAGCCCCTTCACAAGATTTAAATTACCTGGAGACATTCAGTATTAATTGCTGAGATTGTCAGTAATTTGAATCCTGTGAAAGTTTTCCATGTGTATAATATGTAAAAAGTTACATCGCTAATTAACTCTCCTGCTTAGGCGTAAGCTAAAGTCCCCAGATAATACTAATCCCAAGCAAATTAATATTACAGTCATTCAGGGCACAGAAGTAGCTTTGCACGGCATTATGAGGCAGGACACTGGTCCCTTTTTGCTTAGCTTGTAGGATGAGAAAGAAAATAGTTGAAGGCTGCACAGATGTCATTTCATTATTAATTATCTTCTGAGACCAACACATAATCTCGATTGATGCTTCTAAAGCAGCGTGAGTCCCGCAGTTTCAAAAAGACTGAAGAGAAGTTGGTGCAGTGTTTTTCAATAATTCTTTGTTTGAAGTAAAAATCAATCTCAAGGATATCTTGGTTATAGTTTTTTCATTGTAGTTGTGTCGCTAAAAACCGATAAATGCACTTCTTCAGCTCGTACCTGGTGAAATGAAGAAGGTCCTCCAGAGCTTTTTGTCTCGTGTCACATCTCGGATCTCCTTCGTCATGTTGACCAGCCTGCCGGCCACCGGAGGGACGCGTCGGAAGTCCAGGATCCTGCAGGACAGAAGCACTGAGGGGTTAATTCAGCTTCAGAATAGGTCTCACACACAGCGTATTAACACACAACAAAACAATTGTAGGCGTCCGAAAATCGCAATCCTTCACCGAGTCAATATCTTTGTCTATAAAGATGCCCATACATTTACTTGGGTATCAAAGAAAGAAGGCACTCCTCATAACTGTAAGAATCACGAGCCTTTAAAACTTTCTATAGCAACAAATGAATCCAATTATAGTTGTCTGTAACCCTATTGGTAACAAAAATAGCTAGTTTTACAAACTTCTAGTGGTGCCAGTTTAACAACAAATCTGATATTGTCGCTTTATTTTACATATTTGGACAAGAATTGAGGGTTTTAACTTTTAACTAATCACCCAAAGATCTACCAATGAAAATGTTCAAAGTAGAAAAACAGATCACCCCAGATGGGACTCGAACCCACAATCCCTGCCTTAGGAGGGCAGTGCCTTATCCATTAGGCCACTGGGGCAGATAGGCTTGATTCGTGGTCGAGAACTTCTTGTAGTTGTCTTCCACTGCCAAAAGGGGGCACTGTGACATAATATCTGCTCTGATACTCACACCCCCGGAGGTAAACCTCTGTGTGGTTTTTATGTGGCTATCAGTCTACATCAAACACATTTTAACTTCCTCCCAGCTTTCTGGTGAAATATATCTCCGGGTGTGTGTTTTATTGAAAGATGGCGTGACCGTCTTCCTGTGTTCTGTTTTATTCACGAGTCGTCAATACCACCCAGCCACAGCATCAGCACGGCCTCTTTAAACATTGATATCCCTGACAACACCTAATGGCCGAGGCCTGAGGGCCAGAAAGAGAGATTAAAGATGGAGGAGAGAGAGATGTTAACCAAGAGCTGCTCGTATAAATGATGCCATCAAGGAGTGTGGCGTGTGGAGAGAGACAGACACACACATCGTGTCTCTTTCCTGGACACAGCGAGGCCTGCTGGGCCCGCGCCGGCTGCCATGCTGCAGCTTCATCACTCTTTTCCTCCATCCATGTCCCGTTAATAAACCACATTTCCAGAGAACATTTTAAACTTGTTTTCAAAAGCAGACATGTACGTTCTCCTCATGTCCTGTGTCCCATAGATGTTGGTTAGATGTAAAAGACCTTTCATCATGGCTTCTTTACTTTTCAATTTCAATGTTTCATATGTGTTGTTTATATCAATCTATATCTGGTTTAATATGTTCACTGTAATGGGGAAATAGTAGTACATTTGCACTGTAGCAAAATGGAGAAACAGTAAGTCCCCTTTGCTTTGTTGTTTTTAAGCAATGATTTTAATCATCACTAAAATGTTGTACTTTAGTGAGATGAGATAAGACAAACCTTTTTTTAAACCCTGTAGGGAAATTCAGGTGAAATAGCAAGAAAGATTTGTGGGGATTTATCTAGTCTGTTGTTGTTTTTAAGTCTTTTTAAAACCTATTTTTGATATGCTAAGTGCTTAGATAATGACTCATCTTAATAGTTCTGTATATATTTTCATATGAATCCCCTATATTTCCTTTTCTTTTATACTATTGCTATTGCATGACATCTACATTGTATTATACAGTATGACAACTGTATGTGATGAATTGGAAGCTATATGTGGTTAGATCATTTCAGGTCACGTCAGTCCTGTATGTCTTTGTACCTGCTCACTCTCCTTTCCCATCGCCTAATGCAGCAAGTGCACTTCCCATTTAAATCCAATCACATAATTAATTATGCTTAAAGCAGTGTAGCCCATATAAGTGTGTGTGCGTGTGTGTGTGCGTGTGTGTGTGTGTGCAGACCCCTGGGAGGCAGTGCAGTCTGAAACTCTGCAGCAGCAGCAGCAGCAGCAGCTCTGAAGCCAGGCTCTAATTTAGAACAGACAAAATAAGGAGAAAAAATAAAGCGCTCCTTTTGGCAAACCCTGCCTGGCTTATATTTAGAATGGGCACAGGGCCTTTACATGCCTTTGGTTTGCTTCTCTTCCCCTTAACCCACACATGTGCCGTGTGTGTGTGTGTGTGTGTGTGTGTGTGTGTGTGTGTGTGTGTGTGTGTGTGTGTGTGTGTGTGTGTGTGTGTGTGTGTGTGTGTGTGTGTGTGTGTGTGTGTGTGCAACTAAATGTGTAGCAGACTGGTGAAGAAAGCCGCTGCTAATACAACTGCTGCTGAACTGTGTCATTGAGCCTGAAGTAAAGCAGATTCTTCATGGCTACCCGCTGAGGATGTGACTGGACAAGTGTGTGACCTCACAATCATCTGGTATCGGCAGCTTTTCACATGCCTGCAACACAAGCCCCCCCCCCCCCCCCGCTCGTAATTACACACAGCCACAGTGACGTCAGGTCCACTTTAATAGCAACCTCGGCGCTAAAACTCTTTCTCGGGTCGATCGCAGGGCCTCGTGAGGTTTTCTCTTTTCATTAAAGTCTGGCGGGCAGGCAGACCGGCAGGCCGTAAAGCTTTCGCCTTGTACAGACTGAGAAGTCAAAGAGCGTGGAGGTTAACTAAGCAAGGAGGCTGCACTCATTGTTCAGTCAGATGCTAGCTGCAGGAGGGCGGCATTCATTCTCTCTGACTCATGGCCTCATGCACGGGCCCCGGCTCACACCAAAGAGACTTTCTGAGGGAGAGTAACATTAAAAAGAAGCCGAGGAAATATGAGTTCATGGAGGGCGTTCATGCCAAGAAGAGAAACAGTGTTCACACATTTAGATCTGTATCTTGCGAACACCTTTCTTTAAGCTTCACTGTTAAAAGGAAAGCTTGGTGTTCTGCAGGGTTTTGTTCCTCCCGGGTGGTTAATGAGCTGACTCGAGGAGAAGCAAATTAGCAATCAGGGAGGAACACAAACCTGCAGGGCGCTGGGCCTCTGGGATGGAGAGAAGCATTTGGGCTTGAGGGAGTAAGAGCAATTTCAAGAACATCGGATTTTTTTCCTTATTTAGTTGAAAATGTTTGTAGCATCGAGGCGGTTTCTGCACCGGACATCCACTGCTGCCCCTGAGGGTGATGTAGCCACCGGGATTTGACCAGGAAGGAAGACTATGTGGAGTATATAAGAGGATATCTCTGGTTCTTCTATCGAATTTGATCCTTTTTTAAAACACAGTCCATCATGAGTCCAACAATCCCATGCTTAAGTACTTTATGTTTTTAAAGGCACAACCCTGTATCTTAAAAAACGACGTTCCTGTCAAACTAAACTGCATTCTCAACTACTTTACGAAGGAAACCTATTTTCTTTGGATTAAAGTAACAGTATTAAACACAAAAAACATACTTGGTTAAGTTTACTTTGGTTTGGGTATCAACATATCTGTGATATAACAAAAACAAAAGTAATCTGCGAGGAATTACCTTAATCCAAAATGTAATTGACAATGCAGTTTTATTGTGTGGTAACATCATTATTAGGAGACCAGGCTGTCCAGTATTCGAGTTAGTTCACTTCACAACGTTGCCAAAACAACCATTTTTAAAACCAATAGTAGCCTAGCTTGCACTTTTAAAGGTATTATTGAAATTATTTACAAAAAGTTGGTGGCCCCCTCTTCTTGCCTATGGTTAAACATTTCCCTGTGTAGCAAGAAGCTGAAAAGTCTGTTTTTCAGAGAAGAATGAGGGGTTTCTGACAGCGAAGAAGACAGATGAACATGTGACAACAAAATGTCCCAGATAAGATGAACTACATGTTAACTCTGAGTGGTTAAACATTACAAATGGTGTTCCCCAAGGTTCTGTTTTAGGTCCACTATTATTCTCCATCTATATCAACAGTTTAGGTCAAAATGTGGATGAAGCGATTTTACATTTGTACGCGGACGATACCGTGATGTATTGTGCAGGTCCCTCCATTAATAATAATAATGCATTTTATTTATATAGCGCTTTTCACAACTCAAAGACGCTTTACAGTATGAGGGAGGGTAGACAAACAAGGACAGGCAAACAAGTAAGTACAAAATAAAAAGGCAGTCAAGAGGAAGTTGATTGAGAGGGGGGGGGGGCTTATGGGTAGACAGAGTTGAAAAGATGTGTTTTGAGGCGGGACTGAAAGACTGTGAGGGACTCAGAGTCACGGAGATCTTGGGGGAGGGACTTCCAGAGCCTTGGAGCTGCCACTGAGAAGGCTCTGTCCCCAAAGCTGCAGAGTGTGGATGTGGGAATGGATAGGAGTCCGGCTGCGGTGGATCTGAGGGACCGTGGGGGTTGATAAGGAGTGAGAAGGTTTGTGAGATAAGGGGGGGCCAGATGGTGGAGTGCTTTGTAGGTGAGGACCAGAACTTTGGAGTTGATGCGATGGGAGACAGGAAGCCAGTGGAGGTCTGTGAGGACTGGGGTGATGTGATGCCATGATTTGGTATGCGTGAGGAGACGGGCAGCTGCATTTTGAACCCGTTGGAGTCTGTTGAGGGATGTACTGCTGATGCCGTAAAGAAGTGAGTTGCAGTAGTCAAGGCGGGAGGAAATGAAGGCATGGATTAGTCGTTCGGCTGCGGGGCGGGTGAGAGAGGGTAGGATTTTTGCAATATTGCGGAGGTGGAAAAATGAGGTTGAGACTGTTTGCCGGATGTGAGCTTCGAGGGAGAGGGTGGGGTCAAAGATTACGCCAAGGTTGCGTGCCTGATAAGGTAATGCTATTTTCAAAAGCCAAAAAGACACCGGAGACCACTGTTACTACGCAAGGACAAGTACTTGAAGTGGTTACCTGTTATAAATACCTAGGTATCTGGCTGGATAATTGCCTCTCTTTTAAACTTCAGGTCAATAATCTGCTTAGAAAGCTTAGGGTGAAGCTAGGTTTCTTTTTCAGAAACAAGCCCTGTTTCTCACTTGAGGCCAGGAAAAGTCTCCGTGACCTTTTTACCTGTGCTGGACTATGGGGATCTGATCTATGAATGCACCTGCCCATGACCTGATCAAGTTAGATGCCGCCTATCACAGTGCGCTGAGATTTGTTACTAACTGTAAAGTATTAACTCATCATCACTGTATGCCAGGGCAGGTCTGCCTTCACTAACTGTACGGAGGCTCAGTCACTGGTACATGTTCATCTACAAAGCCATGTTAGTTAAACCAGGGGTTCCCAACCTTTATTGTGCCAAGGACCGGCAGATACATTAAAAAAAAATCGCGGACCGGTTGTCAATTTGAACTGATTTTAATATTTACTCACCAGCAACAGAGGCTAATTGTATGTAACAGCCTGAACAAATAATAGAACAATATGCATCCAAAACAGATTAATGTTTAAAAAAGAACCAGTGTCGGTTTTTTGTTTTTCGGAAAAAAAGGAAAACCAAAAAACCGACGTTATTCAGTTTTTAAACCAAAACGGGAAAACAGATAAATCAACGTTTTGGTTTTGTTTGTATGATTTACGGATAATCCAGTGATGGGAAAACGAGGAGAAGGCGCATTACGACAGCATTTAGCACTACATCGAGATTAAGATTAAACTAATTTATTATGGGAACACCCGCATATAGGCTACCTATGGAGTTAGCCAGATGTGTGTAAATTACTGTTCATGGTCATTTGAAAACAGATGCCGGTGTCGGACAGACACAAACACAGAGCAGAGCAGAGCAGAGCAGAGCACACACACACACACACACACACACACACACACACACACACACACACACACACACACACACACACACACACACACACACACACACACACACACACACACACACACACACACACACACACACACACACACACACACAGTAATCGGGCAGTTCGATGTGTGTAGAGGTGTGTGTAGAGATGTGTGTAGAGGTGTGTGTGGTTAACACGTAGCAGCCTGCAGTCACTCGCTGTTCTTATGAAGGTAAACACAGCGAAGGCGGTGCGTAAAAAGGCACAGCTCTCGGCGCGCTGGTGCTGCACTTCTCAGAAGCGGAGTTACACGTCCCGCTGCCTCCTGATGCTGCAGCCATTTCATGAAGTGAAGGAGGTTTTCCTTCTATAAACAGCTGCGGGCAGCAGATACCGTGAGAGTCCCGGACATGAATTCATAGATCAAGGCAGACTGGTTTACTCTCCTGTTTTGCCAATCCGGTGCTTAAACAAAGGCAAGGCAAGTTTATTTATATAGCACTTTTCAACACAAGGCAATTCAAAGTGCTTTACAAAAAAATGAAAGACATTAAGAAAATGGCATTTAAAATCAGTCATTAAAAAGAAAAGCTAATCAAATAAACATATAGCTCTACACCCCTGGCCGACATGTCCTTAAAATGAAGTCCGAGTTTGAAATATATCTCAAATAATGTATGCACTGCATTTCCCCACATAAACATAACAGCCTGCAATGAAACGGTTGTCTCCTGTGCGCTCCTCTTCCTACTTGGCGCACCGGTAACTTTCTCTGCGCACAAGAGGCTGAGGCTGAGCCGCCGAATCCCTCGGAACATCATAAAAGCCATTTTCAACGGTTATCTGGTGAAAGATGAACTAGGCTACTGGATGAAATAATATGACTGGTATAGGTGCGAACATTAAACACTTTTTGAAAAAAATATTATGATAAATTCTGCAAATATTACGATAAACTCACAGCTATTTGAGGCCCGGCAGTAACACCGGGGCTTGGGAACCCCTGAGTTAAACTACAATCTTACATCTGCTCTCTGATCACACGGCGAATTGAAAGTAGCTATTGCCTGAGATCTCATGCTGTGGTTTTGTTAAATGTGCCAAGTGCTAGGACTGTCTTAGGGAAGAAAGCTTTTAGGTGTGCAGCTCCTCTAGCTTGGAACAGTCTGCAAAAAGAATGGAAACTGAGCAATTTGGTTCCACTGCATGTTTTTAAAGCTTGGATAGATGCTATGCAATCTGATACTGTTGGTACCTGTAAACGTCGTTAGGTATGTACATTATAAATCCCTGTATCTATGTTTTATGATGTCCTTTTTGTTTTGATGTTGTTTTGATGTCTTCATGTGGAACCTACTTGCAGCAGATCTCCCTTGGGATTCACCTGGTTAAATAAAGGTTTGAAATGAAATGAAACTGAGAATGGCTGATGGTGACTTACTTGTCCAGATGAAAGGCAGCGACCTCTGCGTTGTGTCTCTCAAAGTCAGAGAAATAGAAGAAGTCTGGGGGGGTCTCCTGCTCCCGGGTCTGCCTGCAGAAACACACAAAAAGAAGAATGGAGGTCAGGTATGACTGTCACACAAAGCCGAGGGTTTGACAGTCAGCAGTATGCAAAAGACTCAGTGATAACGTGACAATGCAACATATTAAACCAAAGCTGCACGTACAATCATTTTCCTGGTTGTGTAAAGTACAGTATGTCACAAAAATAGCCATAGTAAGATCCCAGGGGTCCCAAACGGATGTATGGGAAACGTGCTTTTTTCAGTCCAAAAGACAGAAAATGTTGACCTTTGAGAAGCTCGATGCAAATGACCTACATGATGAATCGATTATTGATATTCGTTTCATTGTTACCCGGTCTAACAGAGCTATTTGGATCTGTAGTTCACAAACCGATGAGAGTAGCCAATATGCAAGACAAGGAATGACTAACAGGAATCAATAGTATTTAGTGGGTACACATTTATATTGGTGCATTGGATTTAAATCAATCCATGTTTCCAACACAACTCCAGAGGTGACAAAACCCTTCTGCTTTACACCTGTGTACCCAACACTGCAAACATTGTCGTAAGCAATAACCAACGCACAATAAAACCGTGTCCTTGCCTCTTCGGAGATACTGTGGATGTTTTGTGGGGCAACAAGAAGCCGGGACAATCGAAGGTCAAGCGCTTCCTCCTGTTCTGGATCTGTACCTATTTCTGTCCAGCTCTGATCCTTCCCCCCCAAAAAACTGCTGTCCACTCACATTCTGCCTTAAAGCTCTTACTGGAGGGAGAAGAGGCTCTTAAAGGCTTAAATCCCAGAGCTGATGGAGGACGGCCAAGGATGGGCCAGGATGGGCCAGGACGGCCGGGGTGGAAAGGCGAAGTCAAAGGTGGTGGAGGTGAAAAGGCTCCCAGAGAAATATGTTAATGTTTTTCACGAATCCACGGTGGAGAAGTCTGTCATTAAAATGCTATCTTTCCACAGAGGCGCTGCATATTTGAGTCATTTCGTCCCTTTTACACGTCTCTTTGCTGTTTGGTAAGAAAAGGCAGCTGAGAGTAATGATTTGGACTGCAGCCTCTGCCATTTCTGCTTCAGCTAGTTGAGGGAGGATGAGAAGAATGGAAACTATCTTGGCAACTTCTCCTTCTCTCTCTATTCCCTCGGGATGCCTCTCTGTTTATTTCGCTCAAAAACCCTCTACTATCTCGCCTCCTTTCCCTCAGCAGAACTGTTTTCTTTGCTTTCTTCTTAATACTTTATATCTGTGTGTGCGCCTCTCCCCTTTTCACTCTCGCTCTCTCCTTTCCATCTCTCTTCCTCAGCTGCCTGGCTGATTGTAACTGCACAGCTGCACGGCTGACATATGCACCAGTCATTAACTAAAGGCAACATGGAGCCCAGAAACCCATTCATCCACTAAAAATGTCCTCCTCACTTTATCTGTATTCCTCTCATCGTTCTCCATCCTTCAATCTCTCGGCAGATGTGGGAAAGTTTGACGAAAGCAAACGGAAAATCATCATTTAGTTTGGTACATTTTGTGTCGGAGCGTCCCTATTTTTCTTTTTAACATTTCTCAACTCATTTTCCTCTCTCCCGCTCATCCCTCACTTCCTAACAGCCGGAGAAAGGCCGTCCGTTGATTGTATCGCTCTCTCCTCCTGGATAGCCTCGCTTCAGGGACACAGCCCTCGCTCCACGCCGAGGAAAAATGATACTGACTTTGAAAGTGTCTATTTACTCCAGTGCAGCTCAGGACAGTATCATTCAGGCCAACATACGAAGTGAAGGTAAGTTATTACCAGTCTATGGCAGATAAGGTAATGTTGCTTTTTGGAGGCTATCATATAAAGAGGTTCATACAAGTGAAGTGAGTCTGAGATTGAAGCATTGAAACTGATATCTAAGGAAATGAGAAATAAGGTCTTTACCCTTCATTTAGAAAAGTTGACCCATTCTGTTTTGACAATGGCTTTTCTATGGATATTTAAGAGGAATTGGCCAACATTTTGGGAAGTAAACTCATCCTGAGAAGTAAATGAGAAGATTAACAGCACTAAGCACTAAAAATATAGCTAGAGCCAGAAGCTGGTTAGCTTAGCTTAGCATACAGACTGGAAACTGCAAACAGCTATCTTGGATTTGTCCAAAAGTACAAAAAAAAACCTACCAGCGCATCTAAAGATCACACATTAAGGTTATATATTGTGACTTTAATCCATGAACACACTGTAAGTGTAAACATGACTTGTATAAATGACTTTAAACAGTGTCTTTTTGCCCAAGATCATCCATCTACTATACAGATATGTGTGTGTCATTTCTTATCCGAGTGCCGGGGCTTCCTTGAGTTTGCTGCCTCCAGTGGAGACTCGAGCTTAAGAGGGGCTGGATGACAGATTGCGTCTCCTTTGGACAGAGCAGGGCTAGATGTTTCCCCCTGTTTCCACTCTAGCTAAGCTAACTGCTAGCAACAGCTTCATATTTAACAGACAGATGCGACAGATGGTATCAAACTTCTTCTCTTATTCTTGGCGAGAAAGTGTATTTCCTGAAAAGTATTTAGTGCTTGACACCGCATTGCATGTAAATCAAGAGAAAACAATCTGTTAAAAACCCACAGATGTGCAACAATATGACATCAAATCCACAAAAACTGAGGCAAATAACATCTTAGGTAAACAATCCCTTGGTCTAGGATCAGGAGAGTTGATTTCCAGCTCTGCCTGACATTATGTATTGTATTTCATGGCTGTGCTAACCATACCGGAGCGTCGTCATGGAGATATCTTTGAGTAAGCATGAGCAAACATTCTCGTGAGATGATTCATGGTCATTCAGCCTTAAAGAAGTCCACGAGCATATTTCACATAGTCCTACTACATTGCTGTCTCTATAGGGGGGAATCGGCACAATACGCTGCTTTTATTCATACCAAAGCTCCAATACGCACCAAAACACAAGTCGATGAGGCGTACACATGCTATGCGTCATTGCTTTTCTGCGACTCAGTGAATTTCAATATGAGAGAGCATGTGAATACAAGCATATGTTTACATTTGAGACAAATCTCCGTGCCTGTGGCCCGGCTGCTCCGACGCTCCCCTCTCACACTGAATGCCAGCCAGGAAGCAGGAAGGCTGGATAATTACCGTGGTCCACATCCAATTCAAATGTCAATAAAGTTATTTAGAGCGTGGCACAACACCCCCCACTGACCGGGGAACTCAAAAGAGAGGAAGAAGAAAAGGAGAAGAGCTTAAGTGTGACAATGGCACTGGAGTTAAATGGAGAGGATAATGAGGGACAGGGAGGAGGACACAATATGTCTCGTAAGAGTTATTTAAGTAACAAATATGCAGGCTTGGGGAGTAACTTTTAGAAAACTGTATTCCCTTAGAGTTACATAACAAAGACTTCAATTAGGGGTTACTCGCCAGATTTTGTTATTAAAACATTAGTGTGTGTATGAAGAGCAGCATGTCATAAGTCTGTCTGTTTTCTGTCTAAAAACATGTCTTTGCGTAAACTGAAAACTGCTGCTAAATGATGTAATGACTTGTGAGTATGGTGTTCTTCCAGCATTATGTTTTAAATAAAAGAAAGAGGCAGATGTTATCTCTTCTCTGTAAGCTGTACTGTTCTGTAGCTAGTCTATACATCAGACTTCAGACACTGCTCACAGTCCTGCCATCTGCAGAAATTCTCAGACGACTCAGATGCCATTGTGGGCTGTATCAACAGAGATCAGGAAGCTGAGTACAGGAGTGTGGTGGACAGTTTTGTGGAGTGGTGCGGTCAGAACCATCTGCAGCTCAACGTCACAAAAACGAAGGAGCTAGTGGTTATCTTCAGGAAGCGGAGTACCGCCCCATGCCCAATTACCATCGTGGGCATGGATGTTGACATTGTGGACAGCTACAAGGTCCTGGGTGTCCACATAGACAATAAACTGGACTGGAGTAAAAACGCCCTTTATAAGAAAGGCCAGAGTCGCCTGTATTTCCTCAGGAGACTCAGGTCCTTTAACGTCTGCAGCACTATGTTGCAGATGTGTTATGACTCGGTGGTCTCTTCTTTGCTGTAGTGTGTTGGGGCAGCGGGGTGAAGACAGCTGATGCCAACAGACTCAACCAGCTCATCAGGAGAGCAGGCTCTGTCCTGGGAGTGGATCAGGAGTCGTTGGCAGTGGTGTCGGAGGGGAGAATGCTGAGGAAACTTCTCAGCATTCTGGACAACGGGTCTCACCCCCTGCATGCCACACTGGTTTCCTACCGGAGCACTTTCAGCCATAGACTGAGATCACCGATAACCACCACACAGCGCCACAGGAGGTCTTTCCTCCCAGTGGCAATCAAACTCTTTACATTACATTACATTGCATTTAGCTGACGCTTTTGTCCAAAGCTTTGTCTTTAACTCTTCACCCCTAAGTAAAGGGCACTGAGAACTTCCACACCAACACTATGTGCAATATACATATCAATGTAATTAACATCATTACAATACACTCGCTGCTATATATAACTATGTGCAATATTATTATTACTAGTATTATTAATAATGCTATGATAACGTGCAATTACGTAACTGCCACTACGTTTTATTTTTTGCACTACTAACTATTAAATACTGCTAATAATTGCATTGATTGTGTGACCATCTATGTTTCTATGTTTCATGTTGTCTGTAGATGTTTAATTGCTCTTTTTGCTGCACTTTTAGTGTACAGTTTTGCTGCTGTGTTTATTGTATTTTGTTACTCTGGCACAACAATTTCCTTCGGGATAAATAAAGTCTTATCTTACTTTAATTAAAGTGTGAATATGTAGTACGCCTACTGCCTGAATCTGCTTTATGGTTTTCACTTTCTTTGGTTCTGTTGTTCTGTTGTTAATTCAGTAGGTGAACCTATATGTTCATGAAATAGTGCGTGTGAGCTTAACTGTGTGTATTAAAGTAAAACGAAGCATTTTCTGTCAGCTCAAATTAGATTCCTGCTCTTTTGAACTGTAGTATGTGCTAATGTGTCTCATTAAAGGTGGGGTATGGAAAGTTTGAGAAACCGGCTCGAGATACACTTGTTGTTATATTCCATGGAATATTTTTTGTTCACATTATATATGCTTCCGTTAGGCAATATTATAAGGAATCATTCTGTAAACTTTCATTGTTATGCGGATGATACTCAACTATATTTATCAATCAAGCCTGATGAAATTAATCATCTAAATAAAATTCAAGACTGCCTTAAGGACTTAAAAACGTGGATGACCTTAAACTTTTTGATGTTAAACACGACCAAAACTGAAGTTATTGTACTTGGCCCGAAGAATCTACGAAACAAATTATCTAAGGATATACTAACTATGGATGGCATTAATTTGGCCTCCAGTGAGACTGTAAGGAATCTTGGTGTTATATTTGATCAGGATTTATCCTTTAACGCCCACATAAAATCAATTTCAAGGACCGCCTACTTCCATCTACGTAACATTGCAAAAATCAGGCATATCTTGCCTCAAAACGATGCAGAGAAACTAGTCCATGCATTTGTTACTTCAAGGCTGGA